ATAAAAGGGACCAGCACCTGAAGCTCACACACAGGGAACAGCTTGTAAGACATTTGAATAAAGTTCTCAGAAAGGTCCTTCTTCAGTAGTCAGTAGTGGGGAATAGTTTGCCCTTAACTAAACAGGGTTCTAGTCCTGTCCAACAAAACTTAAAAATAAGACCCAAAGAAAACTGTTTTTAGTAACTTAAGTGCATCCTAGAACAAACTGTAAGTTCATAGGAATACAAAAATATCCAGCACCCAACAAGGTAAAGTTCACAATGATTTGAATCCAATAAGAGATTACCAGACATGCAAAGATGCAGGAAAACATAACTTATATTGAGGAGAATAATCAACCAACTGAAACCAACTCAGAACTTACATAGCTGTTAGCAGAGGATGATGTAAATAAAGCAGTCATTAATATGTTCAAAAGTTAAGTGGAGACATGGAAGATAGAAAAGAAAGGCCCAAATCAAAGTTAGATGAAAACTAAAGCCTGAGATGCAAAAATACACTGGATGGGATTAATGGCAGATTAGAATAAAAGATTAGTGGACTTGAAAACATAGCACTGGAAACTACCAAAAATGAAGCACACAGAGAAAAGAGTAACCCCTGGCCTGCCCCCTCCCCCCCAAAACCCCCCCCAAAACCAGAACACCAGTAAGCTACAGGTTAACTTCAAATAGCCTAATACATATATAATTAGAGTCCTTGGGGAGGGATGGGAAGGGAAAGAAGAAAATATATTTGAAGAAATATGGCTGAAGAATTTCTAATTTTGATGAAAAGTAATACAAATCCAAAAGCTCAACAAACTCCAAACACAAGAAACATAAATAAAACTGCTGCAAGGCACATAATAAATCGAAATGTGATAAAACTAGTGATAAAGAGAAAAATCTTTAAAGCAATTAGAGAAAAAGAATACATTAAAAAATAAGGATGACAGCAGATTTCTTATTGGAAACAATTCAAATGAGGCAACAGTGGAACAACATCTTCACAGTATTGAAAAAAACAAATTCAAATGATTACAAATCAGACTTTGGAAACTATTCAAACAATGTCAAACTTAGAACCATATAACCAAGAAATCAAACACCCTGTATGATGACATTTTATCTACAGGCAATATGTTCAACTACATTTATACATTATTATCCTCAGAGAAAAGCAGAAATCACCCAGCAGTCATCCTCTATAGCCATTACTAGCTTTCTGATGCCAATATCAGCAACCTTACTTCCAATACCAATCATTGTTTCTGATTTAAAATAAAGTTCACAGATAGAGCCATAGCTTCATAAAGCCTGTGGCACCAATGAGTCCTCATATATAGAAGCTATCAGGGAAACACTCAACCCTTTTCTCTAGGCTGATCTACTCTTTACTCATTCCCATGCTTCTTCCAGATGTTTATTTTGCAGGTTACTAGAATAATAGTATGTTTTTAAAACTCTTCCTGTGTTTGGGGGTGGAAAGACCCTCTTGAAGTATTGTGTGTATACCTCTTTCCATTTGGTTTCATGTACCATTTGTTCACTCTCACAGTCTTTAGATGCCCTCAACCCGTGTATTTGAACCACCTCAAACAGGCAGTGGCAGTGGGCAAATTGTCCCAACCTATTCCATTTTCTCTATTCTATAACCACAGGCGTTTAAGCTGCTCATCCGTCAAGGCAGGGTGATGCAGTACTACGTCTTGTCTTGCAAGCAAAAGCTAACTACAAGCCATCCTTTCCTCTGACCAAATGAATCACTAGAAGTTGGGCATTGAATGACTGAAATGCAAACTCCTGTCCTATATTCCTGTACAATGCATGAGCAGAAGCTCTCTGAACCCTTTGAGGTAAGTACAGGCAGGGAAGCACCAGATATAAATGTATGGCAAAGGCTTGATGGGGACTGACTTATACAACTGCAGTCCCTAAAACCTCTGTGAAGTTAAGTAAGAGTCAGAAAGTTGCAATCACAAGGGGCCTAGAGCAAAGGAAAAATGGAGTTAATACTTAAAGTAATAGTAGCAACAGATATTTAGCACTCAGCATGTGCCAGGCAGTGTTTGAAACATTTTACATATAATAATTTATTGAATCTTCACAACTACCCTATGAAGCAGGTCCCATTATTCTCATTTTACCATGGGAATAAGTAACACAAGCAGTTACATTGGATGAGTCCAAATTTGAGCCCGTTAGTCTGACTCCTGAGCCTACACTCTCAACCACTCTTCTTTAGTGTCTAACAGGAGTGTGTGGGAAGGTGCACAGGACAGACAGAGGACACACACATGGTTAGTGCCATCTCCCCCACTCATATTACCTCACTATCCTAAATGCCTGCGATAGACGTCACACACTGCTAGATCATTCTGAGGAACAAGCAAGAAGTGATTCTACAAAATATTTTTCAGCAGCATGCAAATGTAAGTGAGGTGTTACGAGGGACTGTAAAAGACAGCAGCAGTGCGTAAGGGTGTTTAGGGAAGAGCAGTGTATTGACAGTAGCAAGGCAAGGAGTAGCGAGAGTCCAAACAAAGCTTTTGATATTACAGAATATCTACTGATGCCTTTCTCTCTTGGTAGGCTTAGTTTTTAGCACTCATTTCTCAGGTCAAGGGATCTTGGCCCAAGAGTAAAACAGTTCATCTGAAAGTGTTCATTCCCATGTTAATAAGGGAATCATAAGTTGGATTCAATAGCCTTTGTCTGCCTGTTCCACATAGGGTAAAGAACACATTTATTTTTGCACCTGTAATTAAAAAACTGGAGAAGATAGAGAGGAATCAAAACCAAGTGGGTAAGACAGCTTAACAACATATGCCTTTAGTTTTAAAAAGAGTGAAAGAGAAAGGGAGGGAGAGAGGAAGGTACACTTTTGCTATGAAGTAAAAAGTAATGGACAGCTGTCTCTACTTTAATGGCCCTGAAAGCACCTGTTTCTTTGCAAGTCTTGCCATGGCCTTGGATGGTCCACTCCCAGCAGTAATGTAAGAGACAGAACCAGCACATCTGCCCTGCTGTAATTAAGGCTGCAGAGCAGAGCAGCAGGTGCAAACTTCTCATCCTTCAACTTGACTCTTAAACTGCTTGTGCTCTTGTAACTTAAAGTCTAAACTTGTTAAAAGTGAGATTTGGAAGGTCATTAGTCTATAACAGGAGCTAGGCACTGCAGACATTTCTTTAAAGCAAAATTAGAAACAGCTACCTGACTAACACGTATCAGCCATTTTAAGATGTTGCCATTTCACATTTTCCAAGGGGGAAATGCTATTAATTCCAAGGAGATTAGTATCCACATGAGCATGATATTGAAGCCAGATTGGAAGACGTCTTTTCCCTTAAGAAAAAAGCTTTTCCATAACAGAGCGAGTCCCTTACTCAACCTTCTCTCAATGTAATTTAGGTGCTTAGAGATTTTCTGATACAAAGGGCTCAACCATCACTAAGGTTTTGTCCTATTTTCTTGTTAAAAATTTATCTTTAGAGGAATTTGAATTGTAGTCACCTTCCTCCAAAGAGCTGAGGCAGCAAAACTCCTCTGCAAAAGTAGTTCCATTTAAAACGTTTGAATGTGATCCTGCCAGATCCTAAAATAACTGTAGCTTAGAAAGGCAGATGTGGCTTTGGGTCTGAAAAATTTCTACCATGCTGTACCTTTCTGTGGGGTAGTTAGAAAGATTAGCGATATAACTGCGTGCCAAGAAAACCTACTGATAGAAACCATCCGCTTCTCCAGGAACACCCAAAAGAAAGGTGTGATGCCTAGAGAAAGGGCACAGTTTCATTAGGGACTGTGACACTACTTGCTTGGCAGAGAGGTTCCAGCACTGGCAAGGGAACCAACTATTCCTTTCTGAGCCCTTAGTAATGCCTTTGCCAATTGTGGAATTCTTTGAAATTTTGAGCCAATAGGGTCACTGCTTCTTCTTGAATGCCTGCTGCAGGAACTAAGAAAAAAGACTTGGTTGACAATGGCTGTCTGAGCCAACAGAAGAGAGTTTCATAGCTCAGCTCCTGGGGTAGAAAAGACCCGCTGGCCGAGGGCAGATGCTGCAGACCTGGCAAGGGCACCATTCGCCTGCAGTGCTGTCCAAACCCATCTGCAAAAGTTTTATAAATTATTTATCGGCTGTGGCTATAAATTAGAGAAGAATGGAAGGCCTTTGGGCCCAATCTTAGGTGTACTCCTTATTAATGAACTTAAGGTATTTTCTGTTGTGAGGGAGAGTTTTTGATAAGAGGACCAAGTATCCTCTTGTATGTAGGAGCTACTAAAGCTACTACTATTTTGCAGACAGTTCTTATCTCAAATTCTGCCCTAATGGTGAGTTAGAGAAGTCCTTTGCTGGAAAGGTAAATGTAGTCAATAATCCACTTAATTCAACTTACCTTTCATACCCTATCATAAACACTGGATCCCCTTCCCATTTCAGAGTTGAACTTACCTCTCTCCTGGCCACCAGCAAAACTTTTGCTCATGATTGTGCCATGTGTCTAACATTCTTATGCAAACATTTCAATTAAAAATGTAAGTGCAGTTAGGGTTCTCTCTGGTCAAATATTTTTTAAGCTGTCAGGCTTAACCCTCTCAATAAAATAAGCTAGTCAGCGCCATGGCCACAACTTCTGGCACTTGTATGAGTGCCAGGGATGGGAAGTACTATACTTAGAAATACCAAAGTGTTTGTGTCCTTGAAATAAGTATCCCTCAAGATAAGGGTTCAGATTTACACTTCGTCAGTCATCAACGTCTTTCTTTCACACATGCGCACACACACAAAATCTGTTGACAGAGAAAAGAACTTTTGCTCATATTTTTTTTAATGTATCACAATGAGCAGGAAACATACTTGATGAAATATTTTCAAAGGAGTATATTCAATTACCATCTACAATCAACTTAACTATGACAACAAAGTTTTTGTGACAAATTTTTTTTTCAGTTTGAAAGTTCCATGTGGTTCTGTTTGTTAGTCTCCATGTATTTTGGTACAGTTCGAGATCAGCATTGTTACAGTAACAAAAAAGCTAACAAGACTACATTATAGAAAAACACCAAGAACATCATTTTTGGTTTCACTTGCTCTATTTTTTTTTTTGTTTTTTTTTTGTTTTTTTGTTTTTTGTTTTTTTGTACATTGCAAAGGCTGTTCATATACCTTTTCACCTCAGGGTCACGTTCATTTATGCTTTCTTTCCTACCCAAACTTGCCCCCCTCCCCCCTGAAAAGTAAACAAACAAAAAAAAACTAGTCAAAGCTTTGTTTCACAGTGGGCAGTATCTCAGCGCCAACAAACAACCAACTCAATTTATGCTTCTATTTAAAATGTTTTAATTTAATTTATTATTTAAAAAAAATATATGTCCATGAACATCAAGTGCACTGGCTTGGGTCACTGCCTCTCTCTCCTGCAACTTCCTGCCATGCCTGATAAACTCAGGTTTAAACACATGCCATCTGTTTTACTTTATTTTCAGTTGTGTAAAACTTTGGCCACATTCATCTCTTTAAATAGCTTTTAATTAGAAAAAAACAACAAAACAAAACCTTCTTAGATTTATTAAACCTTTCCGTGTGTGTGTTTCCTTCTTAAGATTCTTTTGGAAGGACGGATGAAATAACTCCCATCCTGTGGGTTGATGGTGCTCTGCCTGAATGATGTCTAGCACCCACCCCCACTGTGGAGTATTTGGGGGGGAAAAAAAAACAAAAAACAAAATATGAAGTGTCGATGGAAGTGAAGAACTAATTGAAAAAGTGAGTTGAGATGTCCTATTCGGTTACCTACTAAGCAGCAGACAGGAATAAATTCTCTGAGACCAATCCAAACAGTTGAGCGTTGTAGTGGATTCATGCTTTGTAAATGATACTTGTCACAGCCATGGTGGATGTCAGCCCACAAACATTTTTCTAGCTCATGTCTGACCTCTAATTTTCACCATCACTGACTGCTTTGCTACTTCTGGGTTAATGCTGAGAATCATTTTTTCTTTTTTGAATGAACATATATGTGGGCAGTAGAGTTGTAGAGGAAAGTATTGAGTGTGCAACCCACACCAGGTTGAAACAATCATATAACCCCTTTGAGGACCACTGGTGGTAGCCAATCTACCCAACGAACCACCTTGCTGTTGCCAAAATACACCCACAGGTCAAGGCATGGCATAACAAAACACAGTCACTCTGCCTCACAGAGGGAGGATGGCATAGTAGCTTAAAAGAGAGAGGTGGGGGGAGGGGAGAGAGAGAGAACCATTGGGGAAGGGGTGGCAAAATTACAAGGAAATGAACTTAAAGTTGAGGGGGGGCAGGAAAGGGATAGAAATTGCACTATTACCAAGCAATATCATTTTTAAAAACAAAGTTTACAGAAAAGGCCTAGCAGAATTTGACAGGTAAAGCTAGTGTTAAATTGTTAATTGGTATCACAGAGAACCAAAAACAAACAATTTTTTTTCTATATGATACAGACACAGAGTAACATACAACAATTAAATGGCAAAAAATATATATATATTTCATAGAGTTACAAATGATAAAATAATGGAAAACAAAAAACTGTACAACTTTAAAATTTAAAAATGTTCATCTCAAACACAGGGAGAAATACAAGAATTCTTGTTAAAAGAAAATAGCTTGTTAAAACAGCAAATGTTTTGCGTACTTGTTTTGACACCTTATGCTACAACTGGATACTGGTATGAATAGTTAGATGGTATTCTTTAGTATTTCTACTTAAAAAAATTAAAAAAGGAATTTGCACTGTGCATCAGCCTAGTTAGAAATATGTACAACAGTTCAGGATCTACTCTTTCATTAAACTAAAAACAAATTCATAAAAATAAAATAGTCCCGGCTAAAAAAGAAAAGGCAAAAAAGAAAAAAAGAAATCCATTTTCAGATCTTGGAATGCTCCAGTCTTTTGCAAAGTCGATGAGTGGCTTCAGCACTGGGGAAAGAAGCCCGAAAGGTGACCAATGGAACCTGCATTCACAGTCTTCAAAGTTCCCTTTTGAAACATAAGGAAGAGAATGAAGGGGAGAAGGATTTCACACTCTCGGGGCAAGGGGAGATTGTTTCTGTTGATGTTTGGCTATGAAAGTGAAACAGCAAAGCATCTATTTGTCTCCAAAATCTACGTTATAGCAGCACAAAGTTTTCCTTTTAAAGTTCAGACCATTTTTTTTTTGTTAAGATGAGAAAGGGTGTATGGTGCGTTGTGTTGTGTGTTACAGGAATACAGATATTAACATAAACACAAGTGCCTCATATACGGTTCCTTTTTTGCTCTCTATACATTGCTATCTGCTTCTTTGTTGGCTGCGCTCTGGATCACTCGCCGCTCAGACTGCCTAACACAAGGACAAAACTTTGAAGTAAAAAATGTGTCTTTTGGTATATGGAATTGTCATTAACAGTTGCCTCTCTGCTTGCAGAAGAAGCACATAACAACCTGGGAATCTTTTGTTTTACTCTTTCTTTTATTAAACTAAGTCTTGTTTGTTTAAATCAGAAACAAATTCTCAAGTAACAAGAACCCTTTCCCTTTTTTCTGCATCAGCAGTGAAAGGGTATGTCTTTGGATTTTATTTAAAGCATGAAATTTCTTTTTCTGAGAGAGGAAAGAAAACAAAACAAACCAAACCAAACCCCTAACCAAAACCTTTTTTTAGAAAAGAAAAGCACACAGTCCAATTACACAAATCGAAACAAATGCTTTAGCTTAGGAAAAGACTATTTGAAGCATCTACCAAACAAGGAGGAAAAGAAGGGGTGAAAAGAAAAGCCAAAAGAAGGATAAATTAAAAATAATAATAATAAATGCACAAGGCTAACAGATACAGGTAACTAGAATTATTTGCCTTTAAAAAGTTTCAACTCTCCAACCAAAAATAATCTGTGAGGATCCTAATGACCCCTAGAACCCTTTGAAATTCTTTTAGTTTTATAAAATAATTCTGCAGCTACCCTCTATGAAATGAAGGCAGCTACCGTAAGTGGGAGATTATAGGATGGGAGGTGGGAGGAGGAAAGAGAAAAGTCGAATTAAGGGACAAAGGGGAGAAAAGCTTAGGCGAATCAACGGATTGCAATCTATCTGCTAGGAATGAACAAGACAACATCAAATGAGGAGCTGTCAGCTGGACCATACAAAAAGCTAAATGTACACAAAAGGTTTTTTTTTTTCCTTTTAAATCTACCATACTGCTTCAGTTCATTTCCAATGCAACAATCTACTCAACACCAAAAATGGTCATATCTATCATAAATACAGAAAGTCAGTTTTTAAAACTTATTTTTTTTAAGCTACGAGTCCTCAACACTCTTTGTGTGTGTGGGTTTTTTTTTTTTCTGAAAGTGGGAGTGCTTAACTTTTCATCTTGAAATTGGCTTCAGCAGAAAAGCTATCCTTAAAATCCCCAGAAAGCTAAAGCAGTTCACATTGTTTTTCTCGAATACTTTCTGCCCTTTTTTAAATTAAGAAAACAAAAAAATCTTTTCTGGAACAAAAAACAAAAGAAAAAACCGAAAAAATAATATATAAAATAATGATTCTGAAAACAGAACAAAGTGTGAGCGATTGACCTGAGAATAAAAAGACATTACATTTCTTTTTTTCTTTTAGCAAGCCATTGGTATCTGAATGCTAAGATAGCAAGAAATTTAAAACTGGAACAAGGTGGACTGCTTTCCCATACAGTGCATGCCGGGCTCCTCTGTGCTATCAACGTGGGGCATTTATTGAAAAGGGGCAAATATACAAGGGGTTTAAGCTCCAAAGACGTTAGGGAGGCCCTGCGGACTTGTGTTTCCCAGACCAATAGTACCTTCAAAAGGACACAATGTAACAACAGGGTTAAGGGGTGTTTTCTTTATATATTAAAAGGAAAAAGAAAAAACAAGAATGTAAAATCACCGGCATAGATAGGTATATGGGAAAACAACCCACGCTTTTTCTTTTTTTTTCTTTTTTTCTTTTTTTTTCTTTTTTTGGTTAGAAGCTTTGGAATTGCAGTTAGTCTATTTTTGAAATTGGTTTGTTATTAATTTTTTTAATTTAAATTCATTTGTTTGTATTGTTCATCTTCAAAGCTTACAATCTGAAGGTGTCCGTTCCTACACTGGTCAGACCACTGTCCTTGGGGCAGCTGGGGTCTTTGGGACCCTCCACCGGGCTCGCCGGTCCGTCGGACTTTTGGCTGAGATCCGTGTCAGACTCCTCCGAATAGTCGTCTGTTGGCATCGAGGGCTGAACCCCTGAGGTGCTGCATGAACTTGAGGTAACCGTTGAAGATGAGGAGAGAGGAGGAAAAGAAGGGGGCTTCGCGGCCGAAGCCCGGGAGACCACTTGCGGCCAAGACTTCCTGGAGGCGTGGGGGGAAGCGGAGGACGAGGAGGGGGCGGCGGCCGACGGGGGAGGGGGGCTGTCGTTTGAGTGAGCGGCAGACTGCGAGGTAGATGCGGTGCTAGGATCGGGGAAGCAGGCAGAGTGAGGTAATAAACTAGGGTGCTCTTTGGCGTTTCTTGCTGCTCTCGTGATTGTTCTGTGTTTGTGCAAGGCCGACTCGAGATGTTGACTCAGAGCTTCCTCCCCACAGAGCGCGCTCTCGCACGCCAGGCAGTGGTACGAGCCGCCGCCGCTGCCGCCACCGCCGCTGCCGCCGCCGCCGCCGCCGCCGCCGCCCGTGGGGACGCGAAGCACCATCTCTTGCAGGTTCACCACAGACTGGCCGAAGAAGCAGAGGGACTTCAGGTGGCTCCTCGCCGCCTCCTCGTCACTGAAGCCCGCCTGGCACTTGCGGCAGACCAACTTGTACTGCACCTTTGGAACAATGAAGGGGTCGTAGAGGGAGTCCGCACTTTTGCTTTCTGCTTCTGGCTCTTCAGGGGGTTTCGGCAGGAGGGGGGACACCTCGCGGGGTGCGTTTTTCTGCTCGTCTGGTTTGGGGGATTCTTTGGCAGGGTCTTTGTCTGGGGAAGCAGCCCCCGGGGGGACTGGGGTCTGGCTTGCTTTGGGCTGCTGCACTTTCTGCTGCTGCTGCTGCTGTTGCTGCAGTTGCCGCTGCTGCTGCTGCTGGATGGCCTCCTGCAGACTCTGCTGGTATTGCTGGTACTGCTGCAGAAGGGAGCCCGGGGACAGCCCCATCAGGGCCTGCGACAGCGCGGGGCTGTAGGGGAACAGGCCTTCCATGCCATACATAGGCTGCAGGTACCCGCTCTGCAGGGCGCCAGGGATCTGGGGGGCATAATACGGAGAGAAGCCTGGTACGAAGTAAGGAAGGAACTGGCTCGTGAGCAACGCTGTGGGGTCCGAGGTCAAGGCTGCCTGCAGGGCCTGCAGCTGCGCAGGGTCCACCGCATACTCCATGGCGGGCAGCGGGGCAGAGATGGTGGCTGCAGCAGCCGTGGGGGCCTCTCCCTTCTCCTTCTTGGGGACAGGCAGGGGTTCCCCTTTCCCTTTATGTGCCTTATCCTTCTCCTTCACCTTCTCACTGTCTTTGTCCTTGCGCTGCTGTTGCTGAGGCGGGGGCTGTGGCGCAGGTGGTGGCTGGGCTGCTGGCGGTGGCTGCACCTGCGGCGGCGGCTGCTGGGGTTGGGGGGTTTGCTGAGGGGCCATTGCCATGGTGGCTTGTGCTGGGGTCGGGGAGCTCAGCGATGCTGAGGACGGTTTATTTGGTAATCCAGATGTGGGGAGGCCAGGGGAAGGAACTGTTGTGCTGGGCAGACCCATCAAGTTCGGTTTTGGAGACGTTAAAGCTGAAAAGGACGGAGAGACAGAAATCACGGGTCAGTCTGGGTGGTGAGGAGGCAGCTCAAGATGTTTGACCTGTGTCACTGGCACAAAGTCTGACATCTCAACGTTTAAACTTGATGTTTTCAACAGAGGTGTCCCGATGCCAGGCTCAGGGCTGGATAGCCTTGTAATCTAATCAGGACCCAGTCCTGGGTCAGCTCCTGTACTTCCCCTTTTGGCTCAACATCTTCCTGCCCAACATGCCACACCCAGCCCACTCATTCATATTCCCTTTCCCTTGCTCCCAGCTACCATACAGTCAGCCCAAGGCAGTTAGTCTGGTGGCCCCCAAACCAGCTTCCAGCTGGGACCCAAAGCCTTCATCAAAGCTTCATAGAAATACTACAGCCAAGAGGTCCCACCAGACACTGTCGGAGGAGAGGGGCAACAGAAGAGAGGGAAGGCAAGCAAGAAACCTAGTCAGGCCCCAAGACCATGTGAAGAGACAACTAGCTGTACACGTGCACCTCTGTGACTTCCTCTGCTGCGGCTGAATGGACACATTAGGAGGGCAGAGAGAGGATGAGTAATGGGGCAAAGTAAGAACAATCCATTCAAAGAAAACTGTTCCCTGCCTTGGCTCAGCTGACCTGCTTTAACAAATCTGTTGAAAAATGTAACTGTCTAGGAATAGGATTCTGGAGTCCACTGGAGAAACGAACATTTTCTCCTCTTGCTCCTGTTTGAATGACATACAAGGGCTAGGCTGTAGATGGCTGAGAAACCAGCCACAGGAAGAGGAGAAAACCATGTCAGGAATGGAACAGCCCAAAGACATCACAACCTACCTCAGGCATCCTGCTTATGGGTGGCAAAGGCGTTTGACCATGTCACTGTTCCCTCATGGGGCACAGCCCCATCCTCAATCACACGCAGACTTAACCTACCACTATGAGAAGGCCTCCACTCAGCCCAGAGCCTGACATCCTCCCTAACCCATACCTATCTTCTGGTTTGAGTCTTTTGTTCCAGTGTGATGAAGACGATGTTGCTGCTGCTGGTACAGGTATCCCTGTTTTTCAAAGTTTGCCTCGTGCCATTTGGCTTTTATGAAAAGACCTACATTAGTATCTGTTTTCGCTAACTGAAAGAAATCCAAAGAGGATTTTCACACTTTTATAAGAAAAGGCAAAAAGTGAAATAGTGTTCAGCAGTGAGCTGAAATAGCATTTTGCAGTGAGCTGTTAGAGACAGCGTGCACCAAGCAAGGAGAGTGACAAGCTCCGTCCCCAAGAACTATACTCAGCGTCTCAGCATCAAGCCACCATAGCTTTGAGCTGTGTCTGTGAGCATCTATGCTTTTTTAAATCTTGATTTATTTTGTACATCCATTGGCAAGATGTGTCCTAAGGCAACGGCTTCTTTATGCCATTTTGGCTTACAAAAGGTTTCATAGGAACATTCTGCTTTCAGATAGCAGGAGAAACTGTACATCAAGTGGTAAGCGCGTCAAGAATAGCGAGGTAGCAGGGAAGGCCAGGACTGTGGTGGGGGCGCAGGGTATCCTGGCTGATGAAACGCTGAGAGAAGACGAGAGGTAAGAAGAGTTCATAGGCAGCGGCCTTCAAATCGTCTATATATTCACCACACCCAAGAAACTAGGCAGTATACACCCCTTCACTTCAGACAGCACCAAAATGCAAACTCAGAAATCCTATAGCCCCTCACCATTTCATCTAGACTACCTTCTGCCAGAAAGCTGTGGTAGGGGGTTCTATAACATGATGATCTTCGTGAGGAAAAAAACACTCTCCAGCCCAGGCCTGGGTGAAGGCAACGTTGACTTCTGGTTACAGTGGTATAGTGTGTACTGGGCTATCACACTTAAAACACTCGAATTTCAGATGGAGAGGACAAGGCTGTCTCAAGTTGCCAATCCCAGAAAAACATCCATTAACGTTTGAATAGTCAAGTACATCATTAATGTACTCTTCCAAAACAGAAGAAAGGGACCACTAAGATTAAGTCATCCAATTTCCTCAATGCACATAAGGGACTGAAACCAGAGATGTGTCTGACTCAGAAAAACTTAGTAAAGGCTTGTTGGTTAGATTGGCACAAACGAGGCGGAAACAGAACAGATTATGAATTCAAAACTTGGGACATGGCTCTTTCTGTCTTCCTCTAGGCAATGGGCCTGTTCCCAGTTTTGGGTTGGAACCAGAGCCAAAAGGAAGGGTGAGGAAGGACTGTCTACAGATTCCCCCATCTCTGTGACATCAGGTTTTCAGGAGAAAGATCCAGGTCAGAAGGCTTTAAACTGACTGTCTTTCTGTATCTTGAACTGATAGTGTACATATGGGATTCAAAATTTTAAGAAACATTTACTGAACCCCTCCTATTTACACTAAGCTCTGCGCTAGCCACATTCAATACAGTAGCTCAATACGTTCTCACAGTAATTATGTGGCCTCAGTTTTCTCATCTGTAAGATCAGAACCAAGCAAGGCACTTCATCCCTGAGACCTAGTCACGCACCGTTGGAGCCAGACTGATGCGGTATGGATTATGACTGACACACATCTGGCATGTGATCTTGGGCCCATTAGCTGACTGCTTGGAACCGCAGCTTTCCACAGTAAATGGGATTTACATGAAAGGTCATGTGGAAAGAGCTTACCACTGGGCCTGAGATATTAAACACAAGTTTCTTCCCTCCCATTACAGATCCAGTGCTCCTATGAGCTGCAGTACAGTCAGGAAGTGGTAACTGGGGCACACTTGGCTGCTTTGACTAATTAAGAGCATCTCTTCTATCTTGAGTGCACTCTAAGTGGTGAGAGCCTGAGTAGCACTGAACATATGCCTGTTGACTGACTGGCTCATAGTGGGTACTGTGGGAGGAGCCGAGCAAGCACTGGGAGCCCGGAGGCCTGGGTGGGAGTTCTGGTCCTACCCTAGCTTGCTGAATGGTCTTGACCTCTCTGGGCCTCTCAGTGTTCTCATCTGTAAAACTTAGGGAACGGATCAGACATTCTGACTCTTTTTCACATTATTATGAACTGTTGGGCCTTCCCAAGACCCTCTGCCAGGGTCCTGGGCTGCAAGGGTAATTCCGTGTCTGGCCACTTTCCATAGCTCGTTTCTTGGCTTATATCTTGTTGGCTTGAATATCACTCTGTGACATGACTTGCCAACACATGTGAGCAACAACTTCTACATCTTAATGCTTTCTTGTTCTTCTCTTTGGATAAACTGGCACCAGGAATTCTGTAAAACACTGCTAAAATTGTAAAACTTGGATCTCATTCAACCAGAAACCAGGACTGCTCTGGGAAGCAGCAGAACCACTTCAACCCCTGGAAACAGGGACACCTGTTGAAGGAAAGGAGGCGCACTGCTCAGTGCTAGCTGTGGGGGGAACTTGCTGACTTGTGCCTGAGTCTCACAGGATCGGAGGTGAAGGTCCAATTTAGGGAAGATGGGTGAGGACAGAGGAACAAGAGAGGTACAAGAACAACTGTGAAACTCCTTAGTAAGTGGACAAACAAGAATACCAAGTATATGGCTCTAAACTAAGGGGATGGGGAGGGAAGAAAGGGAGCTGGGTGAAATGAAATGAAGGGGTGGTTCAATACCCACAAAAATGACCATTAACGTTATTTGTCTGTCTGGAAGACTAACAAAAACATGTCAAAATTCAAAACCACATTGCCCAATACAAGATTCCTGGTCAGTGCGTTCAAGTACAAAGGCAATCTCATTAGAAATGAACGCAGCTCTGTAAAAGGGGGGCAGGGACCATAGGTGAGGGCAAAGAGCTGGTTTCAATTCTCTTCAATGAGTTTCCATAGGGCACGATCCGGAATTAGCCAGGATACTCAACTATTTTATATTTTCAGTAAATATTAATACTAGATGGGATCAGGATTTCCACAATGAATGAATAGAAGGATTTATGATGGACACTTCTTCCTTAAAAATATTCCAGGAGCTAATATGCTAGGAATCTCAAAAGTTCTTCCCTATCGCATATACCCTGGTTTTGCAATTGAACACAGGGCATGAGAATGGTTTCAAAGGCCAGTCCAACCAGGAGGTGCCACCCCTGAACTGGGAAGTTAAAGAAAGAACCACATACACTACACCTCTAGGGAGACTCCAGGAAAGCGACCCCGAAGTTTTGTTCCTGATAGAGAACTAGAGAGGGAAGCTTCCTATCTGCCCAGCACTCAGAGGGTCTGGGTGGTAGCCACAGAACAAAGAGCAGCTATTTAATGCTGGTGGAATCACCTAAAGCAGAACCCACCTGTGTTAGATGGAGTAAAACCCGGCAAGGAGGGGCTGTTGAGGCCAGGAAGCAACACGGGAGGAATGCCCTGGAGCGCCGGATATGCTGTGGGAAGATTCAGAGCCTGAAGAGGGGCATTGTCGAACATCCCTGGCTGCTGAGCTGCCAGTCCGAGGACCTCATTGGCCTTTTTAATCCGGTCCAACTCTTGCTGAGCCATCAACTGACGTACAGTGGCTGGGTCAAAGTATTCTTTCTCCTTGTCCAACTGGCTTCCAATGGTGTCTTTAACTTTGGAGATATGCTGTTGGGAAAATATATGGTCACGTACAGACAGCCGAGCGCTGTACTTGATGCCACACAAAGTGCACTCTGTTTTGGGTCCCTCGTAACTTGTTTGGTTTATACCAAAATGCTTGGCCATGCTTAACTTGGACTTCTTTTCTTTTGCCCGGGCATTCTGGAACCACACCTGAACGACTCTCTTTGGCAGTCCAATGTCATTGCCCAGGACCTCACACTCTAGCATGGTGGGTGTCCTGTAGTCATTAAAGCATGACTTGAGGACCTTCAGCTGCAGATTGGTCATTTGAGTGCGAAAACGTTTCTGCCCGGGCCGATCCCCGCTGTCTCCAGATTTGCCTGCTGACCCACTCGCACCAGGACTTGGGGAGCAGGGGTCTGCAAGGCTTGAGGTTTCACTGTAGTCCACTGTACCTTCGTTGTCATATTCCTTGCTGTAAAAGCTCGGGGCTGGGCTGACCAGACCGGATGACAACCGATCTTCATATTCAGACATTGCCATCATGGCCGCTTTGGTCAACCCTTCATTGGGCGCAGAAGAGGATTTGGTTTCAGTTGCTATTCCCGTCGCACTGTCATTATCTGCATTGCCCTCGTCTCCGGTAGTGGTATCTGTGATTGCCGTGTTGACAGAGGAACAATCATCGTTGTCCAGCTTAGTTTGGTCAAAGTTGAGATTAACTGAGGACATGGAGGGGCTTTCGAAATCTTCGATCCCTTCCACCTTGATGGAAGATGGGCTAAGAAGCGTTCTGGGAGACAGCTCCATGGTTTTACTCACTGGTGAGAGGGGAACACCTTGGCCATCACTACTGCTGGGGGGTAGGTGGGAAAAGCTCGTTCCATCAAAAATATCTCCTTTCATCTGGAGCCCCCCATCGCAGTCTAAGAGCATTGCGGACAGAGTTAGGTTGTAGCCAGCTCTCTTGGCTTCATGCCAATGACGGGACCGGATATGAGCCTCAAGGGCAGTCTTGGCTTTGAAGAGGGCTCTACAAAAAGGGCACCTCCTGTGGGCCTGGGCTGGGCCCACGGCCCGGAACTGTCCTTTCCTTTCCCGGGCACGGGTGTTCTGAAACCAGACTTGTACCACACGTTTCTTCAAGCCCACCTCATGCGCAATGTGATCCAACATCTTTCGCGTCGGATTGGAGTCCAGTAAATACTTTTGGTAGAGAATTTCTAGCTGTTCGGGTGTAATAGTTGTCCTCAAGCGCTTGTCTCTCTGTGGTTCTTCTCCTCCCGTCCCGCTGTCATTTTCGCCGGGGCTCGCACTGGCCTTTTCCTCCAGCTTCCTCTTCAGAGTGTTCATCGTGGAGGTTGGGGTTGAAGGAGAAGTGGCCGAGCTCGCAGGGATCTGAGGTATGGCCCCAGAGAGTAGCTGGCTCGCCAGGAGAGGGTTGCTAGGGTCAAATAGCATGAAAGGCATATCCAGTGACCTGTCTAAAAACTGAGGGTGGATGAACTGGTTCTGTGCACTCAGGAAGTGAAGCTGCTGATGCTCCTGCCAGTGCTCAAATGATGGAAACGCCAGCTTACACTGGTCACACTGGTAGGGGATGAGCTGAGGAGGTAGGTTTGCCAACTGTTGAGGAGTTGACGTGTGGAGGGGCTTGAGGGGCAGGTGGGAGAGCTGAGAAGGACTGGGGCTCGACTGGGGTAAGGGGCACTGAGGAGGGGGCGCCTGTTGAGGAGGCTGTGGTAATGAAGGGGGGGAAGTCAGCTGTGGGAGCTTTTGCTGGGCCAAGTTTGTCTTCTGCTCGGGCTGGTCTTGCTGCTGCAGCTCTGCCTTTGGTTGTCCTTGCTTTTCTTGGGTTTGGTTTGGCTGTGCACTGGGAGGTTCAGCCTGCTTTGGTTTCTCATCACTTGCCTCTGTTTTTGAACTGAAGGTGGCCAGTTCGTCAGCCTCTGCTGTAAGCTGCAAGAAAGCGGAGGAAGCTGTATTGGCTGAGGGTGCTGGGGCACTGTAAGCCTGGGAGGGCATCGGGGTGCTGCAGGAGGAGCTGGTGGGCGTCAGGAGCTCCATGGCATCCATGGAGTCTTCATTTTGGCTGTCATCCTGCCCCTCCTCATCCTCATCTTTGTAACACAGTTTCTTCTGGTGCTTGATGAGATCAAAGATGCGCTGAAACACCAGGCTACATTTTTTGCACTGGTAGTTCAAGTTGCTCGTGCGAATATACCGATCATTGGTAAGCTCACGCCGCTCTCCATCTTTGCCCTCTCCCTGATTCTCATAATTCTTCCTGGCCTTCTGTCGGGCATTTTGAAACCACACCACTATGACTCGGGTTGGAAGGTTCAGTAAATTAGACAGTTGCTCAAATTCATCGTCCTTTGGGTAGGCATTGGCGTCAAAGAAGTCCTGTAGGACCCTCAGCTGGTAGTCAGTGAACCGTGTTCTCGAAGACCTCTTGCTTCCCCAGTACTCCTGCTTCTGAGGTTCCGGCGAAGGGGGCCGCGAGTCAATCTTGAGCTCCTCCAGGCTGGTGATGGGAGGGTTGCTGAAATTGTAAGGGGAGTCCTTGTTACGCTGCCGCTCTTTGAAGAGAGTGTTTCTGAACCAGTGCTTGATCACTTTCTGGGGCAACCCGGACTTGTCAGCCATTTCTTTGATCTGCTCCTCACTGGGGGAGTTGTTAATGTCAAAATACTGCCGCAGGACTCGGAGCTGGTCATCCGTGATCCTGGTACGTGGCCTCTTGTTCTGCTGCTGGAGCAGGCTTGGGTTGAGCTGATGCTGGTACAGCTGGGCCAGGTCGGCAGGCAGAGGCTCCACAGGTCCGAGCTGAGGGGGCAGCTGCGCCGGCAAGGTCTGCAGTGGCATGGTCTGCATCATCAGTGGCGAGAAGATGGGCAGCTCCATGGGCATGGAGAGCTGGGTGAGCGGAACTGAGGGCTGGGCCGGTGCGATTGTAGGCGAAGTGATGGGCGGCGCGGACGCAGGGATGGCTGGCGTGGAAGCAGGCTGAGGCGGTGCCGCCGGAAGCGGGGGTGGAGGGGGTGGAGGGGGAGGTGGCGGCGCCTCTGGGGTCTGGGGCCTCAGAGGGTACAGTTTATCGTAGTGCTCTCTGTACTGCTTGGCAAACCTCTCCAGCTGTTTAAAGGGAAAGTAATTTTGATGAACATGCTCTTGATGACTCTTTAAAATCAAGATGTTGGAAAACAATTTGCCACAGGAGTCACACTCCAGCTTTTCCAGATTCTCTCCCTGCTCGGTCTTCCCATTCTTCTTCTGCACCTTCTGTTTGTTCTCGTTGTACTGAATGACCAGCTCGAAGCCAAAGTTCTCCAGCAAGGCCTTGGTGGCGTTCCCCCTGGCATCTGAGGCGATGCGCGGAGGAAGCATGGAAGGCTCAGAACTGCCCCCTGGTGCCAAGTCTTTCTTCTCCTTGGCCTTCAAGGCATCTGGCAGAGACTCCTTTGGTCCTGTGCTGCCCTCCCCCGCTTCGGCACCATCCCTCTCTCTCTGGCTTTCTTTTTCCTTTTCTTTGATGACCAGTTTGTTTTTCTTTTCAGGGTGCTGGCTTGGCTGTAGGAGGGCAGAGTGACTCTGGGACAAAGAAAGCTGGCTCTGCTGCTGCTGCTGCAGGATCTGCTGGTGGCTCTGCTGTGGGATCTGAACCTGAGCTTTCAGGTCTTCCAGGAGGCCCGGGCCCGCCCCAGTCAGTGTCAGTGCCCCACTGGTCACCGGCAGGCTGACCTCGGGGTTGAGCTGGAACTCTGCGCTGGGGATGTAGAAGGGGAAGAGGAGATGCTGCTGCTGCTGCAGCTGTAGCAGGGTCTCGGTGGTCATGGGGAAGTGAGGAAGGAGGGTGGGGTTGAACAGCTGCGACTGGATCAGGGCAGCCTGCTGCTGCAGCTCCTGCTGCAGGTGAGCTTGAACCTGAGCTTGGGCCTGGGCCAGTGTCTGTGCTTGTTGTTGCTGCTGCTGCTGTTGCTGCTGCTGTTGCTGCCTCGATGCAATCATATCTGCCAGCTTCTTCCGATTGGCCTCCTTGGGCTCTGGAGGGGAAGTGATGTTGGCACTGATGGGATTTCCCAGGGGCGGCATCCCTACACTTTCAGTGGGCACTTGGCTCAGTAAGCTGGAGCTCGGAGCGAGGCCAGCACTGCTTGGGTTGGTGGTGGTAAAGGTGTTACTGCCACTGGTGCTCACAGGACTTGGGGTGGAGGAGCTCAGGGAGACGCTGCTGCTGTTCCCGGTCCCATTGCTACTGCCACTTGCAGCCTCCAGCTTGGCTGCCCGGGCCTTGGTTTGATGCAGCACAGACCTCATGTGGATCTCCAAGGTGGAGCTCTGGCTGTAGGCCACATTACAAGTGTTACACTTAAAGGGTTTATTGTCGGGGCTGCTGGTGGGTTCTGGCTGACCAGTTGCTGATTCTTGAAGGGCTCTCTTTAACTTATGCAGGTGGGAGACAGAATTATAGTGTACTAGCAGGATGTTCTTCTGAGTGAAGGATTCCTTGCAGACAGTACACTTGTAAGGGCGAGAAGGGTCTAGAAATTTCTCCATGGTGAAGTTGGGGCCTTTTCTGAAAGGCAGAGCTCTCTTTGGTTCTGAGCCCGAGTCTTCTTGTACAGACCCAGAGTCACTGCCCGTTGGGCTCTGCTTCTCTTCCAGGTCACTCTCTTCCTCCTTGTCTTCCTCAACGATTATGGTGTGGTCCTCTGCCAGGGTGGGGTCTCCCATTGCCAGGAGGTCCCCATTGGCCAGAAGGCCACCATAAAGCTGCTGGATGTCAGCCTCACTCAACTCCAGGTGGCTCGTCTCAAGGTGTTTTTTCAGAGCCTGGAAAGTTCGGAAACTGCGCTGACAAAGACAGCACATGGTGGCCGCTCTGATCACGTGGTACTGAGAATGGAGCTGCAGCTTCTCAATGGTCTTGAAAGCCAGGCTGCACTGATTACAGCGGTACTTGTACACGTGGCGATCGGACACGGGCAGCTGAGGCCTCTTGGCGTGAACCTCGTTGAAGTGTGTCTGAAGAGCGGCAGAAGTTTTGAAAACCTGGTTGCATCCCTTCTTCCAGCACAGGAAGCCCGAGTCTTCTCTCACAGAGCCTGGGTCAGCAGGAGAGGGCTTCAGATCTCCACTGGGCTCTGTGCTCACAGAGGGTAAGATGTTCTTTCCAAGATCCTCTGAGGTTTCTGTAAAAAAAAAAAAAAAAAAATCAAGCCCAATGATAAAGAGGGCTTTGTTTCAAGGATGGCACCCAGAACTGTCTACCTAGCAAGGCTTCACGAACACAGAAACTGATGATGAGGGAAACACCCAACCCGAACACAGCATCTCTCCACACAGCCTCCGCTTTCTCCCCTGCTACTCCTTCCTCCCCCGGCCCCTCAGTAGAGCACATGTTATTTATAAGCAGGTACACATGAACAGAGAGGAGTAAACTACAAAAAATTTTGACTCATAATAGTCCTGGATCATATCACCATCCTTTTAATGATATTTAATTGCTTGACTCAGAATCCTCAATTTCTCAAGGACTGGTTGGAAGGTTACTGATTTTTTACTGAATTCACCTTTTACATGTACCAGAATTGCAGAATATGTGAATTAATGCTGTCCTAAGTTATGAGGAATTTACGAGAACTGTTCATTGTAATTTAAGAAATTTTGGAATATATATATATTTTAGGCATTTATTTTTTTGTTATAATGTGACCTCTGACTGTCATTTCTATTCAATAAGCAATAAACATTCAAATGGCCAGTTATTAAAATACAGTAAATTTTTTTCTACAGTGAGATTCAACACACTCATAAATACCCTGACCCTTTTTCAGGTCAGCTGTCCACTGCCTAACATGGAAAAATCACAAGGGGTCTCAACTTACTTCTTGCTGACAAGAGGTGAAGATGTAAGAGCGCCTCATAAACAGAGGTCTAATGATCTGTCTTGCTAGGAACCGCGGTGGGGCACCACCAGCAGCAGCACCCCTGTCCACTACAGTGTTCTTTCCACATGCACCCTATGCTGCACCCTAAGGCAATCCCCAAAGACTCAAAGAAGAACTTTGTGCAGAGGCATCTCCTACAGAGACAACTAACCCAGTGCCCTGAAATCACCTACGTGCTCCACAAGTCCCACTAATTAAGTCCTCAGAGATGGCGTGTTTAACAGCTTAGGATGGTGAGTTATGGGTCTGCTGACTGACTTTGGTCATTCATTCCCTAAGGGGACATGTGAACACCAAAATCCCTCTGGTTCTCACCTGATTTTCTCTCACTTTAAACCATATGAAGAGTATACAAGTACAAGCCAAGAACCAAGGTATAAAGCAGCTACGACGGTGCCCCTCATCTCTTGCTCAGTTACGCTCAGCTTAGGAATACTGTATAGGAGTCTTGGCACCCTCGCTCTGTGAAAATTCTGGCCCAACGTTTCATTTTGTTTCCATTCACAGGGGTCAAGAATAATGACACTAACCAGGCTGCTTTCCTGTCTCCTCCACATTGGAGCCCCCATCTCGATCTGGAACAGCCGCTGGGAGAAACATGCTGCTGGGCATCACCATCTCAGGGGTGGTCACCTGAGGAGGAAGAGGCAGAGAAACAAGGAGAGTCAAATGGAGAGGCAAGAGACACAAAATAGGGAAATGTGTAAAAATTATTTAATAAGCAAAATTAGCCTTCACCAGTGCAAAGCTGGAGGTGTCACTTTTCATAGCTCACTGAAGATTCATGTTTATTAGACAAAGCTCACATCAGTCAAAAGTGTTTCTACGGTTACATTCTGGACATAATTAGCAGTGCACACTTGAAGAATAATCTCATTATTAATATTTTTCCTTTATGCAGAATTTTGACTTTGATCACTGACAATGTTTTGTCATGGGCTGTGAAACTTCTTGTGCAACCAATTAGGTAGATAAGTTGAAAGGCCCACCTTAAGCTGCTGAAAACATAATAAGGGCCCTAATTAAATCATACCTAGTAAAGTACACTGTAATCTTGAAGCAGGGAGCATTGTAGTACTGTTTTCAAAATGTATTCAGGCAAGAAGAGGAGGCGAATAAGAGCAAAGGAAAGGGTAAGAAGAAGAGAAGAGAACAAAGGAAGGCTAAGGACACGCAGACACATTGGCAGATTTTCCAGGAAACAACATTTTGTAACCCTTTACAAGCTGAGATCAAGTGTAAACGAGCATTTCTTTTGACTCTACTTAAGCTAGGATTTCTTCTGGGGTCTCTGCCCAAGATACAGAGCATCAGGAGGAACCTCTGGCTGGTGTCCCAGCCACAGAGGGTGCCCGCACAGCATCCTGCAACAGGGTAGCCCCACTCTGACCATGGCATTGTTTCCTAACAGAGCAACTCCAGAATCAGCCTGGACCAAAAGTGCTGTCCTTTTAGGTCAGATCCTCAGACATTTCTCTAGGCTTCCCTGCCATCTGGCCAGAAGCTCGTCCAAACAACTTATCATTTGCCCGACATTAATGTGATAAGCAGCCCTCAATATCCAATGTCGGGATAAAAGGCTCTTTGTTTAAAAAGAAGCAATATCCCTTTGCCTGCTGTAGGGTGGGAAGGTAGTTGATGATACTATTCCCAAATGAATCAGAAATCATCTCCTGTTTGATGACAGCCTGAGAAATGAACTGACCTAGAGGTTACAGGAACAGAAACTACAGACACCACCGATCTTTCTACACGGTGCCCAGCCCTAGTCGGAGGCCTTATTTTCCCATCAACAACAACGTGAATATCATGATAATATCTGCACTTGCAACAACTGGAACGCCCAGGGTTACTGTTCAAAAATTAAATATTTTATATAAATTATTAAATTTGAATGGTTTGAAGATCCTGGCCTTGCTCAAAATAGCTGCTGACATGTTACTAGACTCATCAGTGATAGGCTTGACTGTGAGAGGAAACCTAGACAACTGTCCCCATAAACACCAGAAAGGTAACTCCCCCACATATTTAGGGATATGAGAATTTCAGCAACCCAGATGCCAATAGGTGCAAAAATTAAGCAACAGGCACACAGAGAGGAGTTCTGAGAAACCCTGTGTTTACCAAGAACAGGTGCATGGCAGGTGAACATGTGTGACAGAATTCCTGCTCACACAGACACCTGCACCCTCACACAAAGCTTGTTGGCAGCTGGTTACAACTAGCTGTTGATGAATCGTTAGGAATGGAACGGAGGTTGCCAAACTCATTCCATCTATTTTCTTTCTAACAGAAAGCATTTCTGACTGGTATGGTTGGGGAGTCCAGCGGGAATCCAAGAAGTGAAAGGTCACCGATTAATTTATAGTCCTCAGCCAAGGGGGAGCACAAGGTTGGGGGCAAGAGGGGGAAAAAGGGAAAGGAAAAAAGACTCCCCCCCATCTCCCTTCTCGGTTGTAGCTGCAAGATCAGTCCTTTCTTGGGATCTTTCGGAATTATGAAAAATGAATCATGAGAAATAAAAAAAAAAGCCCTACAGAGTAAAAAAGAATAAAATTATCTAACACCTCAGCTGCACATCATTATAGAAAACTGTGGGCTTTTTATACGCATTACAGTAAGGCAGACATCCCCTCTAACAGACTCAGTACGACGGATCAGTAATTGTTTTCATACACTTTAATTAGAAAAACTCAGATGGCTATGAATAATAATGGAAAAGAGAGACTTTTGCACTTGAAAGGTTGAAGTCAATCAAGTGTGAATGACGGCAAAAAAGAAAAAAAAAAGACACCAATTCATCAGCCCTCCGTTGTCTCGCCGCGACTTTAATCATAATTCCTGATTGGGATTCAAGAAGGCAGCACGCAGCGGTTCTTTGTCTGCCTTCACCTTCCATCAATTAACTCTCCCCGAAATATAATCATCAACCTCACGTGCTCCTCTGCATCTTAATCTGGGCCTCCAAACCTGGACGCCTTGCCCCGTATGTGTTTAAGTAATTACTTTTATCTACCTGTATCTTCACATCTATCGTGTACCCAGCCTCTCCCTGAGAAGGAAAAAGGCTTGGTATATAAAAATTTAAAAGGCAACAAATTCCCAGGAGGCAAAAAGGAACATCCCTAAAGGGGATTCTAAGGCTCTAGAACTCCGCTGGGGTCTGCCTGGACACGTGTCTGAACGGAGAGGTTGAGAATGGCAGACCCCATGTCAGCTCTCACACACTAATGTTCCCGTGCCTGTGTCCATTCCTCTCTCTGCTACCAGCTTTTTGCACTCAAAGTTTGCATGCTTTTCACAAATCTAGTCCTGCCAACAGCTCACCGAGGCATTCTACTCACTGAATTGGCCAAAGACGAGTTCCTTCAACATTTGCCTTGGCACCCCCCTTATTTTCCAATCATATCTGGCTACCCAAGCTGTGTGGGAGGTTCAGACTACCCCAGCCACAGTCTTTGATGGGCAGCCGAAAGTCAGTGAGAAAGAAAGTCATTCAGCTGTGCTGAGTACTGTTCTGTAGACCTTCCTTTCGCAAGGAGCACTGGAGCATGTCGGTTTTTCAGAGGACAAAACCCAGCCACAGCATGACCTGAACCATCCCGAATATGCACAAGCCTCAGAGGCTCTCAAATAACTGGACCCCACCACCAGCCTCCCTGCACAGACAACATGTGTGCGCACACACACCTGTCCCCCTCCCCTTTCTCCCTCTGCCTACTCCCCTACCCCATCCACAGACTCAAGCCAAACACAAAGTTTTAGGTTTGGCTGGATAACAGTACACAATCAGTCCAAACACCTACACCATGTTGATTAATTCTAATCTGTATACTGATAAACATTGACTATGTTAAATTATGTCCCCCATATTCTACCCTTTAATGTATAGAGGGAGCCTAAGACTATTAAAATAGGCTTTTAACGAAAAGTAAAACAAAGCTTTTCTCTCTTTCAATTGATGAGAGCCATAGCTTCTCAGAATATGGGTTCTCAAGACTGGCCTTGACCATGCAAAGGGCAGTTCCATGGTAATCTGCTAGATACCACATGTGTTCCTTCCACCCTTCTGAGCCAGGCCAACTACATGCCTTCTAGCCTGTGCAGTGGTGATAGGAATGCAGGATGAAACCATTATCTGAGCTGGGGTGCTGAAAGTTTGAAAAACCAATAGTGACTCTCCTCTTCCTAAGAAGTAAACACGTCTCATAAATACCAAGGGAAACATGGAGTTCTGCTCTGACGCTGAACCTCTTCAAGATTAAGCAATTCTCATATATAACAGAAATAGAAGAGTTCCACACCGATGCTCCAAATCCTCACACTTCGCAATGCCAGAGCAATTTAGTTGTTGAGAAGGAAGGGCCTCAGGTGACTCTGCTCTTCCATTCACTAACCATCACTCAGTAAACACTGTTCAGATCCCCGTGCTGCCTGCTTGTGAGAGGAAGACATGGTCCCTGTGCCCCAGATGCTCACACTCCAGAGCACTGACCTTTCGGAGATCATACACTCCCTAGACCATCCAAGCAAAGCCAAAGGCTCCTAGAAAAATACTGTCACACACAGACTACTGCAGGTCATTTTGGGGAATCACAGGCTCCCTGGAGGGAAATCCATGACTCAAGTTGATTGCTCTTGACTACTAGGAGAGGTGACATGGGTTCACAAAGAACTAGTGCCTACCTCTTGTTCAGTTCACCATTATATTTATGACTATGATTTAATGCCTTCCAAATTTCTGAGGTGAGTGGACCCTGAAGCCCCAAGGACACACCTTATACAACCCAGAGTCTTCACTGTGGGCCTGGTACCCACTCTGACATTTGGTAGGGGCCGCCAATGTTGACTCTTCCTTGGCAGAAGAAGCTGGGATTATAAGGAGCACTGCACCCTCCGTGCTTTCTCCAGGTCATGGATGTGGAATGGCCAAACACAACACCCTGACCAACCATGGCGTGTATTTTGCCAAGTTCTTATGGGCCTGTTCATGCAAATTCAGTTCTGAAGGCCACCCTGACTGAGGTTAGATCAATGCAACCAACCAGTTCCACAGGCTGGAAAAGCCAAGCTATTTTCTTAGAAAAAATGTTGAACCTGGTTTCTCTGAGACCCTCATCCCTACAGTTTAGGCATTGTTTGCCTAAGTGGGGCTTCTTTCTGAAAGGCTCACTTTTTCAAGTAAGAGTATAGACTTGCCAAAACCTAGACTCCCGAAGGAGCCTCAAATCCTTCACTTTTCAGTGAAAATCAACAGAACGAAGAACCTCAGAGACAGGGGAAAAAGAGGGACAGCCTCGGACACAGGCCTTCCCGGCACAGACCTGGCCAGTCTCTACATCCTTGTGAGGAGGTATTGGTTCTGTTAGAAAATTTTAAGCATGAAGGTAAAACCCACCTGCTTCCAGAGCTGAGCATTCTAGCTAGTGGTGCATCTAGAGCCGATCACTCCAGTCAGTGGCTCACTTCCTCTCCTGCACCTAGATGGCCGCTGGGGCCTGCTAGTGGTCTCTGCACTAACGCAGCCAGCAGACTAGGGCACCTCTTGGCAGGAGAGCTTCTGAGGTTTTTTCCGTTCCTTCACTACCTTCCAGATGTGCCAGGCTGGACACTGGACCACAGAGTCTACAGGGCCTAGTTTCTCTTTATCTCGTTTCCTCTCTAAAATGTCTTCTATGTGGTTGTCTGTCCTTTTTTTTTTTTTTAAACATAAAACCCATGAGGAAACCTGAAGGCCCACGTTAACAAGGGCCAGAAACAAATGTGACCATGAGCCAGATTTTAAAACTAAGAATGAGAAAGACTGAAAAAGGAAGTGGGTAGGAGAACAGGAAATGCATGAACAGTTCAGAGAGAGAGAGACAGAGAGAGAACACTGAGGAGAATGAATTGGAGAGAAGAGCTTCATTAGACTCAGAGAGGCAAGCAGTGGCAGTATACCAAGGTCACTTCTAATTTAGACCATCTAATTGGCAAACAGGCTCCAAATGGCTATCATCTCACAGGGCTTGGAATTAATGAAGCCCGATTATTTTCATTACCTTCCTCTGAGATGGAGACAAAGTGAAAGAGCTGGTAGCCAGGCGGGTGAGACAGCCCCAGGGCCAGTGGCCACCGGAGAGCCCCAGTGTGTGTATGTGTGTGTGGGGGGGGGTGGAGGGGGGGTGCCGACGGCCTCTGTCCCAGAGGCTCATCGAGGCACAGGCACACAACGAGCCCAGAAAAACATAGATACTGCCTGAAAAAAATCACAGGAGACAAACTATTGCTCCAGAGAGAGAGAACTGCAGGCAGTGCAGGGCCAGGAGCAGAGAAGGGAAATCTCTGCATGCACAAAAATACAGAATAATTAAAACTATCAAAGGGAGAGAAGACGAAGGGCTAGAGAAAAGTGTCCCTGGGCTGCTCAGGAGCCAGTCCCCGTCTCCATTGTGAGGTCACAGTTTGTTAAGTGATCAAAGAACAAAGACAATGTCCCTATCTTAATGCTCCAGGATCCCGGTGGTGTGTCCTGTCACTTAGAGAGATAGTGGTCAATTCGAATAATTTAAGAGTACTGAAATGCATGGTAGGTGGTCTTTCCCATTCTCATGTAGGGCTAAGAACCACATCCCCATGCCCTCGACCTTCCTTCTCCGAAAGAGTGGGAGAAGGAGGGCCCAGAGCAGCAGCTCCTCTGTCCTCCCCACCAACCTGAAATCTCCAAGTTCTCTGTAAACAGGTGAGAGTTGTGTGGAACAGACCGCTCAGTCAGGTCTGGAGGGGCACTTGTCTCATCACCCTTAAGCTTTATAGATTGCTTTCTTTCATATGCCTTGTGTAAAGATACCCTTTGGAGCTCGGTTTCCAGGAGGCCAAGCAGAATGAAGTGCTGTGGGTGCAGTTTCCACAGCGGAGGGCCAGAGCTGCAATTGTTCCCGGTGGAGAATATTTTTCAAGCCCCTTCATTGGTAAAAAGAAGGGGGCCCATGGAAGACACAGATATGAGATGCAGAGCATAAGCAAGCAGCTGTTACCATAGCAACAGACATATTAGACACTGCAGGTTCCTGAAAGCTGTCTGATAAGGTATTATTAAATGAAGCCTCCTCAAAACACTCTCCATTTACAACTGAACGGAAAGACATTGTGTAGAAAGTAATCTATTTCCATTTATCAGGGTGGAATTTACTTTTAGAGGGGCTGAAACCCAATTTCAAACCAGGTCCTAAGACCTTGGACCCAGACAGCAAAAAATATTTACCAGAATTTATAGCTTTAGATACCCTGAACACACCCCACGTCTGCCAGGAACTGTCCATTTGGTGGAGTTTTGCCAGCTTTTCCTATTCTGCGGTCCCAGGCAGCAAACTCAGTCAAACCACTGGGCAAGGAAGAAGACTCACTCGTCTCACTCTGTTCATCCTAGCCACTCAGGGACAAAGCCAACATAACTTTCTCCTGTTGGAGGGTGTGTGCTGGCCATTCCTTAATGACACAGTTTAGAAAACGGAGCTGTGATCTGAGGGGCATTTCTCTTCATGCTGTTTTCAGATTTTCCTGCCCCAGCTGGCCAGGAACAAACAGATTTATGGTCAGAAAGCCTAGCCGATACTTACTTCCCTATGGTCAATTTTCTAATAAGATTACCGTAAAATATCCTGGGGCATGATTTTGACCACAAAGTTCATTATAATCACTTAGTTGTAAAACAAATGCAAATTCTGTTTTAACACCAAACTTTTCAGAGGAAGGAAGTGGCATCTGTTTTGATGCATCAGGGCAGCGACCAAGATCTAGGCCTCCAGCAGGATTCTGGGTTCACCTTACGATATGGCCACAAATTCCCCTCTAGCTGCGGTTGTTCATCTTTTCCTACTGAACTGAAGGATCAAGGTGGAGATGCTTCATTTAGCTCAATTCAAACCATCCTCATAACTTGAAAAACCAATGCAATACTGACAGCCATGCAATAACTCCTCCTCCTCACGCCAAGAGAGAATACCCAAGTCATCCTTACATACACCTTCAAGAGTTAAAACCCTTATATTGCTACTTTCCCCACAACTTCAACTTTATTTCTGAATCCATTAACTTTCTCTTAAATTTCTAGTAAATTTCTAGTTTTCTAGTAAATCAACTCCCTATAATCAGCATATTTCCCACAATCTATACACTTTTCAGACATGTCTAGAAAACATCTCCTTTGTCTGCTCTGGGAAAATGAGGTGCACAGGGGATTCTGTACAGGGTGCCACGAACAGCCCCTTTAGGGAGCATGTGTCTCCTACAGAATTATGTTGTCAGGATTCTTCTAGGACAGGCTTTATTAACCGGTTCCCCGGATGAATTTTAGGGTATCCGTATGCTCCCTGGCACTGCACAATTTTCTATATGCATAATACCTGATGGAGGTCTTAACAGTGGTTGTCAAACTTTAGTGTACACACAATAACCCAGGAAGGCTACTGAATCTTTTTCTTCGGTCTCCAGAAAGGTCTAGAGTTACTGCTTTGAGAAGGTGCTAGTTAGTAACACCTCACATATCTCAGGAATTGGGACCTAAGCAAACACAGCAGTAACATCCCGCCCTTGAAGACTGTTGGTCAATGAAGATTCACAATGACCACCAGACTCACTACCTGAAATGTACCTTGCTATTACTGCTGTTCTAAAAATGGATACTTGAAATATAATTTATACTCTAGTTCCCTAGAGATGTATAAAAGAAACTGTCATACAGATTACCATAGGCCCACATCCTAGACCAGATTTATAAACAAGAAAAAGAATTACCTCAACAAAAGGAAAATGTAATTAGGTATTGAAAATGCTTTTTTCCCCACATCTCTTTCTGTACCTTTAAGCTCCCATGGTTCCAGGCCATCACTGGGAAGTGTGATGAGGCCTGAGAAAATCCCACTTGTTAAGTTATTTCCAAGGCTGGTGAGAATGCCAAGGAAATTTGTACTAATAACACCTACAGAAAGCCACCCACGCACAGAAGGTGGTTTCCACTTACAGAGAAACTTTCAACAATGTTCATTTCACCATTTGAAAATACTAATTTTCACTATTTGAAAATACCCATGGAAAGTGAATTTATACTTAGAACGCTGAAATGAAACTCATGCTAGGTCACCTCTGAGTTTCCCATTGGCTGCTAAAGTTCTCTTGATGCATCATCAATGATATGTTCCTCACAGCTGAACCTCACATTATTTGTTAATTTTGTGTAACCAAATGGAACGGGAAATGCCTAGAGGTTGTATGTCTGTGTCCTACACCGTTGTACCATGCAATTCTGAACAGACTACCTCTCTGGGAACCTTCACACGAAAAGGCAATCATATTAAATTCCCATCATTTCCACTGTTGAAATAAGCTAGAGACTTATTTCTTTTTGGTGGTTTTTCCTCTAGTGATCAGGAAAGGGCTTGCATAGCAGCCCCAGCACAGACAGAAAGTAGGCCATTAGTGTCACCTGTGGTACTTTGGAAAGTTTTCACATTACAATTAGATTTAAATCTTTATCCTAACCTTTTGGACCATGTTTACAGAAGCCACTTGGAGCCATGCTTTCAAACCCAGGTTCAAAATGCAAAGCCCTCATTCAAGAATCAACACGCACTTTACAACTGACCACTTTCCTGCTCTGAGAATGAAAGTGTCCACTCGAGAGATGCCCACGTTACAGGGCTACACTGCTAGAGGTGGGAAATGTGAGATCACCTCTCAACTCCACCTTACAAGTGCCATCAAGTCAGTTAGCTTCTCTGAGCCTCAGTTTCCTCAGCTGTTAATGAAAACGTGTCAGACTCTTGTGGGGATGGAATAGGAGAGCAGAGCATGACCTGCTCAGTGCAAGTTTGGGGAATCTTAACAACCACAGTCTCTTCACATAAAAGCTGAGCTACTCGAGGCCTCCGCATCCTTCAGGGTGAGGATGACAAGGGAAGGATGAGAATCACACAGATCCATCTCTTTGGGCCACGGCCATGCCAAGTCCAAGGCAGGACAAAGGTCACAGGACCAGGCCCAATGCTGACATTTCCAGCTCTACACTGGCTTTCTCATCCAACACCGCGGTATCCTGTCCAAGTTATTGGGGCCCTGCGGCTGGCTCTTACCGTCATAATGAGCTTGTCCACGCAGTCGGGTGCCACGCTGTGCAGGTGTGTGAGGTGCAGCTGCAGGTGGGTCTTGTTGCTGAGCATGTCCTGGCACAGCGGGCAGCGCAGCAAGGGCTGCACCGAGTGCTGTGTCATGGCGTGCACGCGCAGCCGGTTCACGTCCGCGCTGCTGTACTTGCAGTAGGGACACTGGTACATCTGTAGGGGACACACCCAGCCCTCTGGCTGAATCTGCAGTTCCCACCAGCGACCATGCCCACCCCAAGCCCGTCCGTCTGTCAGCCCGCGAACTCAGTCCCCACCGGCACCTGAAACATGACCCCCCCCCCATCCCCAGCAGCAGGTCAGGCCCCTCCCCGCCTCACCTGCTCCGCTTTGGTCTCTTCCGATGTTTTTGGTCTCTTCGAAGAGAGAGGAGACTCCGAGCTACCTGGGAAGGAGATGCGTTTGGAGGTTGCAGGAGAATCTGTCAGCTCCTTTTCTGCTTGGCTGGACGATGCTGGAGGAAGAAGCAGAAGATGCGGTACAGCAGCTAGACCAGGCTGGCTCCCACAGGGCGCGTGCCGGGTGACAGTCAACATTCAATTTATAGCACAGGATTGTCTTGAAACACCCAAATTCAGGCAGGATGAGCATCCGGACCAACTTACTGAGCATGTTGGAAAAGAAGCAAGTGTTTCTTTCCCCCCCTCCCCGCCCATGAATTTTCTATCACTACTTTAACTATTGAACACTAAGAAAGGAAGGTAAGGAAACGGACTCCAAGGCTGAGCTGGATTAAGCTAAATTCAGTCTATTCTGACTCCCCCCTCCCCCATAATCAAGACACAATCCGGTTGCTTGGGGGGATGTGAGGGCTGAGGGTGGGTGGGAGAGACTCTCACCAAGTGCTTCACCAACCACTAGTCAGCCTGACTGCCAGACACACTCTGTTTCCACAGATGTGACAAACTATGTGCCCCGACTTTACTGTCCAGCCCTTGGAATCACAGCACCACACATTGCAGGAGACATGATAAATGTGACCTGAGAAAGGGTCACACAGATATCTGCATACAAACGAGTGTGGGTTCCGTAACTTGCTTTTGGGGAGGAGCTTGGGAATTGAAGAGTAGAATGAGGCAAGGCGTGAATCTAACTTAATAATCTAGCCAAAGCTCCAGACACAAAAGTTTACTCTAAGTGAGTGATATGCAGGTATGTTTCCTATCTGCTTGCACAAACCATGCCCTCTGCACTCCACTCCACCAAAAAACCAAAACACTAATTAATGAGGAGTCACATGAGACTACAGTAGCAAACACTGGGTGCTGACGTATTGGTAGAAGTCCTCTGCAGTGTGGAAAGGGCCCTGGAAGACCTGGATGAGAAAGCAGCAGAGCTCGGGGTTTAACCAGGACAGAGCAGGGCTCCCCCACTGTAAACAAGTCTCAACACCGTTGGATTTAGTCTTTCCCAAACCTGCTCAGTATCTAGGGTTGGCTCTCTCACTTGTTTTGGACACGGGACTCCATTTTTTAGAAATTTGCTATAAGCAATAAGGAAAAAAAAAATCCTGAAGATGGTAGAGAGAAAATTTATGCCCACTGCCCTTACTGGAAAATGATTTGACTTAGCATCGAGGTCACTGGTTTAGAAAGCTTAATATTTACTCTTTGGCCAAACTACTTTCTGTCTCACCCACCCAGTCTAGTTACCTGGCTCACGTTTCCACTTTACTCTCAGCTTTGAAATTGGTTCTGATGTGGATACCAAGATGCTCTCATTATAGATGTGTGCTTTAATAAACAAGTTTAGAAAATCAATTTTATTCATTAAAATTATTAGGCCACAAAATAATTTTGAAAAAAAATTGCTAAATGCAGAAAATATTCCAGGAAGTTGACGCTCTTCCCTGAATGCACATCTTGTGACCTTTAACCCCAGTATCTTGGTAACCTGGTCTACATAAGTTTGTAGGACATCTATTATTTAAAAAGTACAAGGACAAGCATATTACACACAGACCTCTCCTCCTCCCAACACACACATTCATAACAGTGCTTTAATCTGTCTCGAATCGACTTCAAACCCATTTTGCTCTTAATGGGAGTTATTCATTTTCACTTGAAAGGTAATATATGACGGCTGGATATTTAATGTGATGGACTGGCTGCCGATTAACTAGGTGCTGTAACATTCTAGACCAGTTCCCCCACGGCCCACTTCCCATCTCCTGGCCGCCCGCAGACCTGGTCCTGTGGAGCCTCGTGTCCCAGGGTTTAGACTTCACAGTGTGACAGGCCCGGCCTGAACACTTCCATCTTAGGAGCCGTTAACTAATGTTTCAGGGACTTAAGTTTCCCCTGCCCCCAGGAGGTGCCTTATTCTCCATCACTTTTTCCTTTTTGCTTACTGGTTGTCTTCTATGTGTGGGGTGGGTAGCGGCGCTCATTAGCTGGTATCTTTGGATGCTTGTTTCTCACAGCCATCTCTTCACCTGCCCTATTTCCACCTCCCACCTGCATGCACTGGGTCAGGCCCAGGGCCTAAAGCATGGAAAGCGTGCTCTCTGCTCCTCCTCCCGCGAGAGGCACACCAACACAGAGATTGTATTTGGGACACCCACCCGTCCTTTCGTTAGTCCGCCTGACTCGAAACAACACTTGCTTTTACAGGACCGTGACATTACCTTGTAAACCTGCCTGCCGCCCCCCTTCAGAATGACTGTCAATCGTGCAGTTGCTCGGCTGTGTGAATGAATGGGCACCGAGGCTGACACCACCCAACTCATCTCACTCACTTGGAAAAGCACACACAGTGTAACCCAGGGAGGCATTAGCTTCCTCACAGGACCAAAGAGTCCATCCTCTTCCTTCAATGCTGAACACGAGATGAATTGTGAAGAGGTTGCAGAGGTGAGAATTCTGGTCTTGGAATTCACTATTCTTCCCCCGGCATGGAGGGGGGAACTTTTATTACCTTTTCTTTTTTTTTATAACTCGCAAAACTGCTGTGGAATTCTAAAGCTTCCTTTGTGAGCTCGAGCTCAGGAGTCCTTATAAAGTGTTTTAAAAAATAAAATCACTCCCTCATTTATCTTTTTCCGCAGTAACACAACAGCCCTGCTACGTAACATGAATGACTACATCCTCTGGCATAGTAACTTCTGGGGTCCATCTCCCGTCTACCCAGGACGACATGCATTTTTATTAGATCGGATCTGTCTAGAAGTGGACATTAGTCACCGGCAGCTTACTAGCTCCTTCTCTTAACTAGGCTGACAGACCCCCACCTGGCTTGACCTCAAACATTAAAATGTCAATCCCCATCAAGACAGGGTACCTAAGTCTTGCTCCAGTTTCTCTAGACAGGCAGACAGTTGTGTGAGTTCTCCATCAGCATGCTGGATGCAGGTTGAGTCGAGGCCACAGTGAGCCTGAGGTTTTCTCAAGCTGCTTCTCTCTGAACAACTTCAGAAGGGCCCAAGTCTCAAAATCAATTTCTACTTCAATTCTGTCACTAACATACATGGTAGGCATAAGTAAATGAGGTTGTATGAACACCAAGAGAGAAGAAGCACTGTGTTTTTCTGCTTTGAAGACTTTTCTAAACTTTGACTTGAACTCTAGCAGAGAGGTCACAGTCTAGAAAACATTGTTTAAAAAAATCAATTCCTGATCACTTTAAGGACACTTCGACATCACATTAGTGAAATGGAAATAGATGCGCTCCTGAGGCAAGACATAGTTTAAACAGTACTTGGGACCTTTGGTTTAAACTGGCAACAAAAACGCAAACAACTTGAAGGATGACTACCTGTGGGCGTTTTCACAATAATGACAAAATGAATCGAAAACAATGTAGATCTCTTACAACAGGGTCTGGTTAAGTAAATAATGCTACAGCCACTTTGTTGGGTATCAGACGACATTAACAATGATAGCTATGAAGCTACATGAAAAAGTCCTTGAGAAGCTTAATTGGAAAAAAATAAAAAGTGTGTCATACCATGGTACAGCTATATACATGAAAAAAAAAAGACTAGAAGAAATGATTGTTGGATTTAGCTGATGGCATCATGGACATTTTCTAAGTTTGTCGTGTAGTTCTATTATTTTTAATATTATAATTAAATAGTTTAGCCTTTAAATTGAACTATCCATGAAAAAGTTAATATATGGATCCAAACTGTGCAAAACGTCAGGTGGTATTTTTTGCTTTGCTGGTTGAAGCTTTTTTTTCTCATTTTGGCAGCTATATCCTATGAAAATATGTGTTAAATCCCAATGAATCTTCCACAGGCAACACGCTGGGATCCTGGCACTTCAAAGAGGATAAAAATGTGGCAAGGAATCATGTGAGCGATGCACTATAGATTACATACTCTGTAAAGCTGGGCGAATGGGATAGTGTGACAACGGAATGCTGGGTCAAACCCCTGTCGAAACCTGATAGGATGTGAACTGTGGATTGCCTGCCATGCAAACTTTATAAGGAGTTAAGAAACACTTGCTCGACTTGTCAGGAGTTATGGTTGCCCTGTCCAACTTGCTGAGGAGGCACAGGAAGGTCTGGCCTGTCCCTGCTATGGAGTACAGAAAACTCAAACTTGGCTTTCTGGGCTGAAAGCCACCATTTTGCCTTCAGCTGTGATGGGTTGGCCTCTGCGACCAACAAAGACATACTGAGTGGCAGACCTGACTCATGACTCCATGATTCTCCCAGGTTCCTCTATATTCCAGGCAAGAGTTTCATTTCAAAGGGAAACATAGTAATCATTGCATGGCTTCCTAGGGGGAAAAATCACTTATGCATGGAGACATAAAATTCCAGATATCCTTTGTTTTTAGCATATTTGGGGAGTATTTAACCTCTAAAATATTTATTTAAAAAGTTACCCCTCTTGACATATTAATGAGAGGGAATAGGAAAGACAGTCAATCTGAATTCATGCAGGTTTTATTTGCAGTTTTCAAGACATGGTTTTATTATGCTCTAAGCATACAGAATAATTAAAACAAGCCTAGTAAAGCTTGGTACCTGCAGGTAGGAAGTGACTTACTTTAAAGAATCGGTAAGAATGGTACAATGTAGGGGTCTTATAAAGTGGCCAAGTATGGTAGAAACACAGCCCTTGTAACTTCACCTGATAAAGTCACTCTTCCTAGAATGAATTCTCATGAATTCTCACCAACAAACTAACATCCGAGTCACCGAAATTCTGGCAACAGAAACCTTCGGAGTTGTACTGGCAAGCGCCATAGAGCGCCAGTGGACCTAATGCCAACACACGCCTCCTTCCTCATATAGTGACACAGCCTAGACAGTGGTGAAGCCAGGTAAGACATGGGGTTGCTGCTTCAAGAAAAAAGAAACCTGAAGAAAATTTGAAAATGAAGAAACCGTAAGGTACCCCATTTGGGGCTTTCTCTAATCATTAGCCAAGACATTGGCTGCCCTCCAAAACCAACAGTACTGGTAGAAATTGTTTCTGTTTCATGAGCGAAATTCATCTTC